ATTCAGAAAATTCATTTGGAACAAGAGCTCTTTAAAACAAGATTGGGACCTGTTATTGAACACTCAGTATATGCAAGGCATGGTGCTAGGAATTTTTTATACATGAACTCATTCAATCATCAGAATAAACCTTTAAAGTAGTGTTATTATAGCTACTTTACGGAAGACAAACAGAGCTATGCCAGCATCCCAAAGGTCCCTTCATGCCCCTTCCTTATTGTTATTGCCACCCATCTTCTCAAAGATAATCATTATCCTGATTTCTAACATGATAGTTAGTTTTGCCTCTTCATAAAAGTAGATATGTAAATTTTGTGTCTGTGTTTGTGAGATTCACCCATGTTTCACTTAATTGAAGTTTGTTTAATTTACATTGTTTTATAGTATGAACACTGCTATGAACATTCTTATGTATGTTCTTAGGTAAATATGTACACATATGTAAATAAATCATTTCACCCCGAACTAAACATATAGCAAGAGTTTTATAAATGCTATCTATTATTACTGTTATGATTATTTTTTATAATTAGTAAAGTATGTGACTAAAACTGTTTAGGATTTCCCCACCAGGTATTGTTTGAGTTCTTCTCAACTGACTTCTTGGCTCACTTCTAAATCATTCAAGTATTTTAAAAAAGATGGAAAAACAAGTGGGCATACATACCATATTAGTTACTACTCTAAACAAGACGAGAACTTCTCTAATTAATACAGACTCCACTTATGCTAATATAAGAAGGGCAAGTACTGCAAAACTAAATTTCCTTTGGGGCTCAGTTCTCAGACTTACAGAAAAGAGAATATTGTTGATGTTTTATACCTTGAATCCAGTAATTCTTCAGATGCAGATTCTCGTGACACATGCACAAAACAGAGAATAAGAAATGCAGAGTAGTGCAGTTAGGTATATTTGTAAATCTTCAAAAAACTTGGCTTAATGGTAGGCTATAGGACATGCCATAGACTCTATTCTTCCCATTCTAGACAGTGTTCTGAGCAATATTTTTTTTCACATACTTGCACAAAGATACATTAAGGTTGACTTTTAAAATTTACAATCTGTAAATTCTTTCCTTAGATTATCTTCCACAGCTAAAGATACAGACACAAATTTATTAGGGAAAGAAAATGCAAAAAAGAGTGACAGAATGTCAGCCTGCATTTGCATATTAACAAACAAGAGATTATCTTGTCACCTATCACTTTGCATAGAAAATTGCAGCCTATGGTTATGGTAAAAAGAAAAAATAGTTTTTGCACATTAATTTGTGTCCAGAAACCTTGCTAGATGATCATATTCTAACAATATATTGAAGAATATGTTTGGATTTTCTGTGTACTCTCAGTCATAATCTGTGAATAAGGACAGTTTGTTTTATGCTTTACAATCTTGTATATTTTATGTACTTTTCTTATCTTACTAGAATTGGTGAAAAGCTCCAAAAAATAGACACAGTAAGATGTTTATCACTGATTTGGTCCCAAACTCAAGGGAAATGATTTCAATATATCATCAATAGGTATAACACTTATTCTAGGTTTTTGTAGACAACTTTTTATCAAGAAAAAGAATATTTTGTTCTATTCCCAGCTTGCTAAAAATGTTTGTTATGAATAGATGTAGAATTACGTTAAACTTTTCTGGTGTTTCTCCTTTAATTTGTTAATGTATTGATTACATTAATTGGTTTTATAATGTTTCATTATTGGGATCTCATTGACTATGCGATCTATGGCAGTTTGGATTCTGTTTAGTAAACTGTTCTTGCTATGTTAACTGAGGACCTTCTTATTACCTACTTGTAAGTGACCTTTTATTAATATCGGGAAATATTGATTACTATCTCTTTGTAACACACCTTGCTCTTGATTGCTTCAAAACTCTAGTTTCTTGTTTTTTCTCCTCCATCTGACTGCTTTTTAGTCTTTCCTTTGGTTTCTTCATGCTCTGGTGTTTCTCGGGGTCCTTAGAGTTCACCACTTCTTATGGAACCAAGTATGTGTTGATGATCCCCAGATCTCTACTTGTAGTCCAAATTCCCTTTCTGAGCTACAGCCACAAATACCCACGTGCCATCCATCTTTCCACTCGGATGACTTACAGGTAGTCCAAAATGTTCAAAACAGAACTCACCATCTTCTAACTTTTCTTCTTTCTCCTACCCCTTGGCTTCTAAACCTACTTTCTCTCTGGGGATTTCCCCAGGTCACAGTATTCCATACATTCAGGTGCAAAAGAAGAAGCTTGAATGTCATTGCTGGCTTCCCTTTGTTTTCACAGCCCCCAAATCTGTCACCAACACTTGCTCATTCTACCTCCTAAATGCTTCTCATAGCCATGAATTTCTCTCCATCTCTAGGTGTTAATCCAGTCAAAGCCATCATTCTCATCTTGAAAAATTACCAGATTTCTTCATTTTCATTCAGATTTTCTTTATCCAATAAATTTCTTCCTTCCTTCCTTCTCTCTTTTCTTCCTTTCTTTCTCTTTCTTCCTGTAATTTTACCTAAATTAAAATAATTTTGTTCATACAAAATAATTTACCAATAGTTTATTACACATCATCATTCTTGAAATATACACTTATAAAAATTAATAGAATTTAATGGAGGAGTGTGACAACATTGAAAAGGGTCACGTTTTTAAAAATTTCATTCATTTTTTTGGATGTTGACTGTCAGCACTTAATACTGGAATAGATATCTGTTTACTGACACACCAAGACACAACGTCTATAACTCTGAGTCAATTTATGATGCATTGATGGCTTTGATCAAAATCATTCTTCCTAGAATGTATAACAGATACTTTTGTTTACTATTTCCTTATTTCATTTGAAATGATTTTCTACCTATTTTCTGTCTATTAAGGCTAAATTGACAGAATTATGTCTCTGGCCAAAAGAAATAGAACACGTAGTACAAAGATAAAGAGCAACTGGGAAATATGGCTAATTGTGAACATGTTCTCTGAGATAACTGAGGACTATTTAGATTGAATTTCAGTAAATTATCAGAAGACTTTAATTTCAGAAAAGTAGTTCAGGTTTTGGTTTCTTTTTGTAAATTGCTCAATCAGTCCAAAATATGATTTACCAGTTTTCTCATGAAATTCTTAATATCTTCAAAATCTGAGACAAATATCACCTCCCTTTCTCTCCTTGACAGTAATGTTTATAGTTACCTTTTTTGTGTTCACATTTTATTCTTACTTCTATCTCATTGTTTCTTTCTGAGTAGTTTTCACTATTTTATGGGTTTCCTGATCCTTTTTTTTTTTTTGTAGTAATCTATATTGCATTCGGAAAAGGGTCTGATACATAGCAGGTACTCACAATATATACTCATTGAATAATAGCTAAATTATTTAGACTATTTCTAGAGCTGTTACCAGCCACAAACAAAGGTTCTTTTTACCCATCACACAAGAGGGGCCAAAATTAAAACTGGAACACCAGGCTTACGGCAAGGAAAGGGGTTTATTTCAGGGGATGTCAGCCAGGAAACGAGACTAAGCCCTCAAATTTGTCTCCTTGAAGATGGGTGGCAAGGGGTTTTAAAGGTTGTGAGGAATGTGGCTGCTTGTAGAGAGGGGGAGCATGTGGCCTTGCTGGTTGGTGCCTTCCCACCAGCCTGTGTTTGGCCTTGTGAAGCTGCTGGCAGGGAGGAGGTTGGTGAGATAAGTGAACCCACAGGTGAGTGTCATGGATTGTCTGCCTCCATGATGGATGATGGATTCTGGCATCAGGAAGTCAAGCAGTTGGGATCTGGGAAGCTTCAGTTTCTTGATATCCTCTGGATATCAGTTTCCCTGGAACAAACTTCCAAGGACCCATAACTAGCCAAAATGTTAGTGATGCTGGCCCTGATATCAGTTCCCCTACTTTAAACCCTGCACATATGAGGTTAAAACCAAAGCACTCTTTCCCTGCTTACTTCCCAGCTCTCTGGCTCCAAAATCCACTATCTGCCAAGGAGACAAACAGCCAAGGTTGTCCACCTGCAAATTTCCTTATCGTCTCCTCCTCCCTGCAAACAGCCTTCCTCCCTAGGCCGAAGGCAGGCTGGTGGGAAAGCTCTGACCAGCAAGACCACTGACTGCCCCCCGATCTACAAGCAGCCGCATTCCTCACAAACCTTTAAAACCCCTCGCTTTCCCTCTTTTGGGAAGACAAGACAAAACAAGACAAATTTGAGGGCTCACTCTCGTCTCCTGGCTGATAACATCTGAAATAAAAACCCTTTCCTTGCGGTAAGCCTGGTGTTCCAGTTTTTATTTGGCCCCTCTTGAGTGGCAGGTAAAGAACCTGTGTTTGTAGGCGGTAACATCAGCATGAGCCCAGCTGGGCTCTAACAACTCATAACTTCTATTTGCATTGTGTGATGAGGAGGTCAGTGCTCTAATCTCAACACTAGCTTCATGTATGTGTGAAGCTAAAGGTTAAAGAAACTGATATTTACATACGAATATAACTAAAGAGGAAGGGAAAGGGGAGGGGGCTCAGAAGTGCCAGGTTTCAGATGACACAGACCCTTGGCTACCTCTCTGTAGACAAGAGTTTCAGATCTCCTGAATGTGACATTCCTAACGAATGTAAGAAAACATTAGTTATTCTCTTATCAGAGAGAGACGGAATGATTTAGACAGAGGACTTGAAACTTCTGCTAACAAGTCATTCTTTCTATCACTTACTGACTGGCTACTGATTGGCTTGCCTACAAGCAGTTCTAAGTGTTTCTCTAAAGCACTCTGTGAGAATAAGCCCAGGGGCGGGGTGTGTGTGAGGTGGGGTGGTGGGTATTTAGAGTTGGAGTCTCCCATGTTAACTCAGTTTCAGAGCTCAGAGCATTTTATGAAAAACAGCTAAGATATTTGGATCCAAATGGTATAGTATTTCAGGTGAGGAAGGAAGTACGAATCAGTGAAAAAGAATCTAGCCCTTGTTTGCATGCACATATATTTGATGTTAACTTTTTATCATTGCCAGAAGTGGAAATTTTCATTTGGTGACAATGATAAATGGATGCACAACCTGTTTAGTTTGGAAATTAGTAGCTCTTTCATAGAAATAATAACATTTTCATGAAAGTATATGAGACTGTATACTTTAGCAGATCGTTCTGGATTAAGATTGGAATTACAACAAAAGCAGAAAGATTTCCTGAAGTATATGTGAGACTGTGTCCAAGGAGGTTCTGCTTAAGATTGGAATTACAATAAAAGCAATGAAGATAAGTATCAAAAATGGACGCTATTCTGTAACAACTTGAATATAAATTTATCATTGAGACATAGTATTCGAAATCTGGAATTTTTTTTGTGTGTGGAAATGTTCACTGTATTGGATAAAATCTTTCTGACGCTGGCAGGAGTGGAATTCATAATCGGAATGTTAGGGAATGTGTTCATGGGGCTGGTAACCTTCTCTGAATGGGTCAAGAACCAAAAGATTTCCTTAGCTGACTTCATCCTTACCTGCTTGGCTATCTCCAGAATCACTCAACTGTTGGTTTTATTGTTTGAATCATTTATGCTGGGACAACCTTCGTGTTTCTATGCCACTTATAAACTAGCAAAACCTATCACTTTGCTTTGGAGAATGACTAATCACTTAACCACATGGTTTGCTACCTGCCTAAGCATTTTCTACCTCCTTAAGATAGCTCACTTCTCCCATTCCCTTTTCCTCTGGCTGAAGTGGAGAATGAACAGAGTGGTTCTTGTGATTTTTGTATTTTCTTTGTTGTTTCTGATTTTTGACTTTCTATTGCTAGAAACATTTAACGATCTCTTCTTCAATATCTGTAAAATAGATCAAAGTAATCTGACTTTATATTTAGATGAAAGAAAAATTCTTTATGTTAAAACCCAGATTCTTCTTAGCTTGACCTATTTCATACCTATTGCTCTGTCTCTGATTTCGTTGCTCCTTTTATTTCTGTCCTTGGGAAGACACAGCAGAAATTTGAAGCTCAACTCCATGGGCTCAAGAGATTCCAGTACAGAGGCCCACAAAAGGGCCATGAAAATGGTGATGTCCTTCCTCTTCCTTTTCGTAGTTCATTGTTTTTTCACACAATTGACACATTGGATAATTATGTTTTGTAACAGCAAATTCACAAAGTTTGTCTTATTAGCATTATATGTCTTTCCTTCAGGCCACGCATTTATTTTGATTCTGGGAAATAACAAGCTAAGACAGACAGCCTTGAAGGTACTGTGGCATCTTAAAAGCTCCTTAAAAAGAGAAAATCCATTAGCTTTACAGGATAGACTTTCCAGAGCCTTTTCAAAGATAGTAACTCAGTGAGGAAACTTTGAAAATCAATTTTCACTTCTACTATTTTTTTCTACTGGGTTCTTTTAAGTGTTGTTGAGCATAACTGAAACTTTCTCTAGAATAGGTTGCTTTGTATGATAATTCGCCATGGTCAGCCAATATAATTTAAAAAGTAATCATTTTTGTCTAAAACATTGGTTACCAATATTTTAAAGTTTCAAATATTCTTTCAAGGAGAATCTAAATTATTTCATTTTACATGCAAAACATGTGTGTAATTTCAACACATATTTGGGAGAAGAGGCATGTTGTTTTTTAGAAATCAAGATAAATTGCAATTAACTAGGTAGAAGATGTATAAAATATTGATTGAAAATTCATTGAGCAACTAAAGTCATAGGTGAAAAAAGCATGACCTCATAGCTTAAAAGTCTAACTTTTTTTGAATGGAAGAGCACTGCATTGTTGTTATCAGAGATTTTGTTGATATCAAGGAAATAGGATGTTTGATAATAAGAATAATATTCATAGTGCAAGATAATATAAATTGTCTGTGAGTAGAAACTGGTAATATCCCTATAATACTGATCTTATTTGAAACCCCAAGTTGTAAACATTCTAGGCACTTGTTAATTTTGCTAAATTCCAGTATATGCAATGTGCATTTTCATAGGGCAGAAATCAATATTTCTACCATGTTATGCAATAGAATTAAAAATATATACAAGGATTATTTAATTCAAAATCACACTCATATTGCTACTGCTAAAAGATCATAATTATGTTTTGAGAATGATTACCTTTGGGCCTGTGCACACACACTTTATTGTAATCTGATCATTAGAGTTCTTAGAGAAACAAATGGAAACAGGTCAAAAGGAAAGGCGGAGAAAGTAAAGTTCATAACAGAACATCACATGTTTAGAGCAAATTTTGGATGTGCATATGTATATATTGTGCTGTTTTAACTATAATAATCTAAATTTAGAAATTGTAACTAAGGTTAAGGATGGGAAAGTTTATTATAAAATTTTGAATATGATGGTATGCATTATAATATTGTACAGATGTTATATATGTATACATAATGGAATTCTTTAAAAGTGAAGAATTCTTTTTTAGGGTTTATCTTTGACGTATTCTTTAGATTGTGTTCGATTAGAGAAACAAAAAGCTGCAATTAAGTGATGATAAATATGTGGGTTGTAAATTAATCTTGATGGAGCCATAAGTAAGGGAACTGTTCTAGGGTAGTTCCTTGGAGCTGAGAGTGATGTTAGAATTATTAACATTTCTCCCTGCCTTCCCACATCATATGTAGGAAACTAAACTGCAAGCCCATCTAGGCTATGTGGTGCTTCTGTGTATCAGTAACAATAATGATGTCGATGATGGTTTTAATGATAAGAAATATAGTGTCTATTTTACTAAGTAATTTACATTTTACAAAATAAAATGTAAAAATATTTTTTGGACACCAACTTAGTATTTTGTCAAAGATTATCATTGCAATTATCTTGTCTTAGTAAAAAGTAATATACAAATCAAGCTGAATTTAGATTCAGATACTGAATTTGTTTTGCTTTGGATATTCTTTCATATAAATGACTTAAAGATAATCTTGTACTCTTAATAAGGTGATAACCAAAAACATTATTTAGTTTTTAGTCTAACTAAACTTTTCTTTGGTAAGGAAGATAAAGTAATTGAGCCCACTTACAAGCAAATTTTGCTTCTAATAAGTGGCCCTTAGGAATGAATGAGTGAATTTCTAACTAGGATCAAGGCCGTTCTTATGCAGCAACCTTAGGGAGACAAGACTACAAGGAACAGGATCCTATTCCTGACAAAGAAGTACAACAAAAGACTAGTAAAATAAGCCAGGCCATAGACTGGGGTTATTGCAATTGATGGATGTATTGTAATCTGCATATTTGAACGGCAGGTGAGATCAAGCTCTGCACCTCCACTTTCCCCATAACAAAAGCTTTTGTGGGGGACTCAGCAGCAGCCAAGCCACAATCCAAGAAGAGCCACTCCGAACGTGTGTGTTGCCAGTTCATACAACCTGGAGAAGATAGACAGATATGGCCATATATGATCCTGGGACCGAAGTGTTGGGGAAAGACGGAGATTACCACTGATTTCTTTTCAACTAATCCTTCTCTCACCTACCAAATAAATGTTCATTTTAAGAATCTGGGTGTAATCATTGTATATTTCATTTATCAACCCAGGTGATTTATAGAAGAGGAACAAATAACCTGTTTCTGCTGCTGAAATAGTCGTAGCTCTGATCTCTAGGTTTAGTGTTGAAGGCATCAGATAAGACATAAATCAAGCACAGCAAGGCATGTTTTCTTGAACCCTAGTGAATAGACATATCAGATAGAAATCCATAGCTATACTGATATCTGAGAAAGAGGCATGCCAAATTCCTCAATGTCTCACGTGGTTAACCTGCTCTCTCCATAGGTGACTTCTCCCAGCAAGATCTTCGTTAGACCCCATCTCCTCTGAGCATCCTTTAAGGAGCATTTGCATCATCACATAGTCATTCCCAAACCTATCATTTGAGACACTGGATATGATGTCTAGAGAAATCTATGTCTTATTCAGGACCTTAGAATGAATCTTCACAAAAACAAATTGATCTGAAACGTTTGGTCACTTTGAGAAACATATATATGCAAACCTTTTTGTTTCCTTGTATACCAAATCCCAGTCACAGAGTACAGCTTTTCAAATTTTACTTTTTATTTCACATCAATATAAATGCAGCAATAGAAGACTAAGGAAATGCTCAACAATTCTTATTTTGAGCATGAGACTCTAATGCTCGCCAGTGTGGGGGCTGGTGTTAGCAACTTAGACTGGCCTTGTCTTCGGTTTGTCAAGGAAAAGAGCCAATGGGGATATGTTTGCTCCCTAAGGATTTTGAGGACAAAAATTATAGCCTTCAGTTTTGAAAATTAAAGTAGTTTGCCAAGTGAGACAAAAATCTACAATGAAACATAAAAGGGTGTTCATCGAGGGCAGTAATTAAGTTGGGCAAACATTCTGCATTTGTGAGAGATGAAATCTTTGTCCCTTCAAGCTGTGACCTTGGCCCCAGCTAATTGCTTCTTAGGCTAGGGTAGAGCCAAAGAAACACTGAAGGTCTCTTTCACCTCAAAAAACACAAAGGCCAGTACTTTAATTTAGTGACTATCAAAGGAAATGTTGCTAAGTTTGATGCGTGAAAGTTCCAAGTTGTGATTCAAAAATAACCGGGAGGCTATTTCTTTGCTTGCAAATAAATGGGGATGCTTGCTGTTGATAGGATCAGAGACAGCATCACGGCTAGGGGAGCATTTGTTGCTGGCTTCTCTGAGACTATTGGGAGATCTAAAAATGTGGTCTTGAGGAGGAGAAAGACAATAGAAAGAGTCAAGAAGAGAGCTTATGTATGTTATTTCACTGGAGATTCACAGACACAGGGAGGAAACAGGAAGAATTCAAGTCAAAAAAGATAATATTAACGATAGAAGCTCATAAGATCTTCAGCTGATTCACCTTTATTTACATTCACATAAGCAGTACTTCATCATTATATAAGTATTACTCAGTATTGCTACGGAGATCAAGATTTTGTTTGAATTAAGCCAAAGTGGACTGCTGAATGTGTTTTCTCATTATTTTGTGGAGGAAATGTCATTCTTTCTACTGGTCATTATAAAATCAACGTTCATAAATTTTCTGATTTCAATTATAGTCATCACTATAAGTTTAGACTAATTATTTTGGATTGTCACTACAGCATATACATAAATTTAATTAATCATTACCTGCCCAGACGTTTTGTAATAATATACCTTATATTTACACACAAAATATCACTTTTTCTTTATCATGTATAATACAATCATTTGAAGAATGAGGCATATAAGGGCAGTTTAACCCAGGAACTGAGACAGATCTGTAGTTATGCAGATTTTTAAAACTGTGATTATTAGCTTGGAGTTTGAATTTAACTCATAGCATGTGGCACTTGTGATTTTTATACTTGTTATTACAACCTTTAGATTTAGTTTCTTCTTTAGTGAAGCTGTGAACTTAAGTATTCTTTAACAACTAAGCATCTCCTGGCTGACTTGCTGCTATCTGGTTTTTGTTGCTCCTGAACCATGCCTCCCAATGGAGTCCTCTTCTCAGATAGCCTTCCATACCATTTCAGAGCATTTCTGAAAACATCAGTTATATCTAGGCCTTCCTGCTCCCCTGCCACAAAATCTAGAGCTTTCTACCTATCTCCAGCTCCCCGGGCTGGAAACAGTTCTCTTTCATGAAGAAAAGTACAAAGGCCCCCACATTCTGGGTGATAGACCTGCAAGATTTTATGATTCTTTATGACTTCTGGTTTGAACCAGGAAGACAAGAGAGCAGGGTTGGTTATTTCAGGGTTAGTATAGGAATCCTTCATGAGTTCACATATACGTTGTAAAGTTTTCTCGTTTTAAGAAGTAACTTTCTTTTTTTTGCTTCTATACGAGTTTCACAGTCGTCTTATTCATTTTCTCTTTTTCTGTGCTCCCAATAGGATTACCAACTAAGTTAGCACTCATTCATTTAACAAACAGCTATTAAGGGCCTCCTATTTGCCAGGTCTTCCTTGTTCTAGGAATTGGAAAAAGATCAGTGGACAAGAACAAAATAGTTCCTTCCCTCATGGAGCTTACGTGATTGTCAAGGTAACTGGTGGCTAAGGTTACGTAGTGTAAGTGCCTGTTATAAAGCTTTTGACTGTCAAGTCATCCATTTCAAAGACATCCATCTTGAATAAACATATGGCCAGCTGTATGACACAGTACTAGGAAAACACCTGGATAAGAAGCCAGGCCGCTCCCACCCATGGAGTTCCCATAGAAAGGCCTGGGTAACTCAGATAACTGACCACTTGAGCGACCCAGCTTTCCCCTTCTCAAGCCCTAATTCCTACTCTTATGTTTTGAATTCACCAATAAAGAGTGGCGTTCTAACACCTCACCCTTAACCCCAAACCCCAGCTCTGTGCTTTCTCTCCCTCTCCCTGCGACTTCTCTGTGTGGCCCTGGGCATGCTGTGTACCCTCCTGGACCTGTAAGTAATAAACGTTGTTTTTTCAAAGTTTCCTGATGGTCTTTGCTGAGGTGGGTCTTGAATCATGATAAGAACCCCAAGGGCTTGTCCAGCCACAATGCTGGCTCTGGAAGGGAAATGTCTGTGGGGGCTCACAAGTAGTATGAGCCCAAGTAAGTCCCTCATGCATTCCTAGTCAAGAGCCTCACTAGGGACAAGCTGAGACCAACACAAAACAGGTTATTTGTCAGAGTCAAAATTGGCTGAATGGGGAATGCACTGTTCATAGGACAAGTGGGCAAAAATCCTGTCTTGTTCCTGGAGAATCCTTATAGATTTGCAGTTTGTGATGGAAAGATTTTAGCTTGGGATTAGGAGGCCCTTTAAAGCACATATCAAGGAGCTTTCTGTGAGTGCTAACAATATATCCCAGACTAATTATGTCAGAGTCCTTGGCGGTGGCTCACAGGCATTAATAAATATATATACTTAAAGCTCCTAGGGAATTTCGATGGGCAGTCAGGATTGAAAAATCATCATACTAGAGTTACCTGTTTGTCAAAATAAAAGACAAGCTAAAATATATTTTACTGTAAATTAATTTTTTATGGGATAAAGAATTTTACCAAAAGCAGAATTAATGAAAAGCAGAAGCTCCCTACCATGCCTCTACCCTCTGTTTTTGCTTTTTGTCTACCTTATTTTTTCTTACTATTTTTTTCCTCACAGCTCACAATAGCTTATTCAGAATCAAATAGGCAGTAACTTATTGGAAACTAAAATAAAAAATTCAGAGCAATAGCTCAGATGGAGGTCTAATTTTGGTACCTTTGCATATGCTTTTATATCATTCCGGAAAATCATTTCTGTTTTTACCTATTTCTTCAAGAAATCCTAAAAAGTTTTTTTTTTTTTTTACATTAAAGACAAGAAAATTGTCTATGGGAGTTGGAAACAGGAGTGGGGAATGGAGATAAAAGGGAACGGCCGAACAAACTTTTTTGCAAAATGTGGGGCTTATATCTGCAGACGTCAGACCCATGTGCCTGATGCCACTTCCTCTGCCCCTGAGATCTCCAGAAGGCAAAGAAACTGCAGATGTCCATCCTCTGGGCTTGGAGAGGAGCAGAGCAGAATGGAGCCTGCAGGTAATGACGGGATTCACCACAAGGTTGTTGCTCCCAGCTCAGGTACAATTAGGTAGCAGAAGGTTGTAAGAACACCTGGGATGGGGAGCCATGGGCAGAGGGTGATGATATTAAACACCTTCTTTTATAAACAAAACTCTTTTAGTCTAAGCCTAATTATAGCATAGCGATGTTCTAAGCATTTTGTTTGGGGTGATGAAAAAGTCTGGAAATA